ATATGTAAAAAAAATGTTTTAAGAAACGAAATGATTTCTTAATAAAATGTTACTAACATAAATAAATCAAAGATGCCTAATTTTTAATTTACAGGCAAAAGAAGCAGCATCTAGTGGTGACGTTTTAGAAGCGGAAGTCCAGTCTAAACGCGCGCGCCTCTTTGTCATCATCTCTCTGGCAGTCGGGATCGTGCTCTTTGTAATTATAATAATTGTACGTGTATCAAGCCCTAGCACGAATCAATACTGAATTTCTACTCATTCCTGCTAGAGGTTTACTCTCAGAATGCATTTTAACTCCGACATTTGTTTTTCTCAGAAACATTATTAACTAACACTTTTTTGTATTGAATAAATAAAAACTTGTGTTTTTTTAATAATTTTTTTTAATATAAACTTCTGAATTGTCAATGAACTTGTTTGTAAAATCAGAAAGTTTAGTTTACAAAATTATTTTACAATTGACCAGTGACGATGGAAGTAGATTAACCGTTTCATTTTTATTAAAAAAGCAGCTTTCAGGTATGTCAAAGAGTCTGAACCTTATTAAAAGAAAAATGCCTAGACAATCTTATCATATGGAATAAATGTATAAAGTGTTTTCAACCTGTTTTATTTGGATGCTGTGATTTTGGTATTTTTGTGACTTCAATGTTTGAAAGCTTTATGGTGTTAATAATTACGAACATCCGATCTGCACTTTTTGATTATTTTGTTGCTCAATATTCCTGGAAATTCTCCTTCACCTCTCTGATTATTTTAGTGTGGAGAACATTAATTGGAATCTAATGTTATCCCTATTTTTTATTTTTAACTCATTCTTCAATACTGAAGTCAAATGTGTGACAAGAGGGCTAAATTTTAGAAGTTGTTAGATCTGTTATTTTTATATATTGATCAAGTCATTACACTTTCCTCTTCCAGAAAAATATTATTGGAAGATAATCCAAGTTGTAAGAAAAGAGATACAGTTCAGTAAAACTAACATGTCTGGAATTTTTATGTACGTAACTTGGTGTCCACAGTGATTGAAATTAAAGTAAATAACCTATGATATTTTAAATGAAACTTTGGAAGTAAATAAAGGCTAGTATGCATAGTTTACAGCTTAGTTTATTTTTGCTTTATGCCTCCTTACTATAAAAATGTATTGGAGATTCTCAGTGGACACCGTTACAAACATAAAAATTGAAGAAGTATTATATTGCTGTATTTTCAATAGCAGTTGGATTTTGACTTGGTTATTATAAATCTGCTGTTTAATACCAATGCTTTTTAATTCAAAAATGGAATAAACCAAAAGTAGTGTTAGTTCTTTACTTTAGACTCATAAAAGAGGTAATTATGTAAGTAACATAGACACCAAATCCCGTATATCTGAATAAAAAGGTAGTAATATTGTACAAAAATTAATATTGTACAAAAATAACAGACACTGGTATTTAATCCACTAACTTGATTTTATTTCCATATTACAAAATCTTAATTATCAAATTTATATAAGAGTTTTCTCTTGGACTTCTGGATGAAAACTGGGGGTCCTAGAATCTTTTTAACTGAGCGAAAAGGCTCCCAACTTTCATCAGTTCTGGTTGGCCAAAAGTAAAGTCCTGATACTTTGTCTTTAACCATAAAGTTAAGATGAAGTTCCTCAGAGACTTCTTTAATCTAAAAAAGAAGTTATTTGCATCATTTCAAAACTGTTAGAAAAAGCTTAAGGGATGCACAGTGTATAAAGAAAAAACATCCAATATGATTAGAAAACTGTACAATATAAAATAAAGTTTTGATCATATGGACTGTTAAATTCAATCGATCAATGTGTGAGAATCAGAAGGCTAAAATGACAAGAAAAACTAATAATGAAATAACTTTATGCTAAAATTGTTAGCTCATAAATAAAATACAAGTGCTGGAAAAAAAGAACCTGGTAAACAAACCATGAGTTAATATGTTAGTTTTATAATGTCGATGAACAATTACCTCTGCTACATAACGCTCTGGTACACCTCTTGTGTCACTGCATAAAGTGACAACCACAAATTGTCCTGCACTGTGATTTTCAATAGTGATTGAATTAATTAAATGTGAAAACTTGAGTGAAATCCTAGACTCAGTACCACTTGATGCTTACCTAAATACTGATGCTGAGTGTTCATCCATCATCCTTGAATCTGTCAAATTGATTAAAAGAGATACATAGTTAAATTTTTGTTGTAACATGTCATTTGATTGATACAAGATTTATTTTATATCGTGTAACATAAGTTGCCTACATCACTATGAGTTACGTCAAAAACTCATTATTCCGCTTAACGTTACTTTTGAAATATGCTCAATTTGAAGCCTTATTTTGGATGAAAACATTATCTTCTTGTCTGCACTGAAATTAAATCATAAAGAATCAAGCCTATTATATCCTACGTTAAACAATATCAAAAATGTTATTCTTGCTTATATTTTAAAAAAGTATAATACACTGTTACATACCATGTTCATTTTGACCAGATTCATTTCCACCATTTTCTGCTCCATTCTCCTCATCCTGACCCTGGATTTGACCCAATTCATCCAATCCACCATTTTCTGCTCCATTCTCCTCATCCTGGCCCTGGATTTGACCCAATTCATCCAATCCACCATTGTCTGCTCCATTCTCCTCATCCTGACCATCCTCCTGGGCATCTAAAATTTGGACACATTATGGATGATTCTATAATTTTTACAGCATGTAAAAGACATTTTATAAAATTGTATGTTTTAGTGGAAATAATTACCTCTGTTTCTTTGCCTTTGATTCCTGATTTTCAAATTGTATACTTTCCAATCTCCTGTCAAAGATGCAAACTGGCACTCAGAATCTTCAGTGACTCCAATGCAAGCATCACAGAAACAGCTTCGTTCCCTGGCAGTTACAATGTATTGCTGTATTCCTCGGAAAGAAAATAGACTCCGGCACTGCTTCACTGTTTTGACTCTGTTTGTTATCTGCTCTCTGTCTCTGTTTACATCTCCTGTCTTGACAAAAAAGAATGTTCTCTTTGAATGAGAGTGACCGTCTATGGTAAGTTTATTCTTGGAATAGTTGAAAAAGTCCTCAGCATTTGAAATAATGGTTCCCCTTGTTGTAACAGCCAGACTAGCACTCCTTTTAATCACCCCTGCTTCACCATCACATGGTCCTTTACCATGGCGAGAACCAAAAAAGTGCTTCTCCACACTAAAACCAAAATCTTCGTGACACATGCTCATGTCTACAAAATTATACTTTGACTTGTACTGTGTAGGTGCACCATCTGAAAACTGGATTTCCTTTTCAATATTAAGCCCCACACCTTGAATTAAGTACTCATTGGTTTTTGCTATGAAGTGTTGTACAAGATGATAGTCATGCTTATGGTCTTCTGAGATGAAAACAACAGATTCCCTGACATTTTCATTGCAGTTCTCCTCTGTGCACTTGTAGTAAGCCACAACTGGATGGATGGTGACCTGTTCATATGTCCAGTGGGCACTCTGGGCTTCATCTTGGTGTCTGCAACAGTAGTTTTCAGCAAAGTCCAGACATACCATGACCCAGTTCCTTGGAATATTTCCTTTCAAATTTTCAAATTCCTTAGACTGCCATTGTGCATTAAACAAATGTTTTGAAAATGGGGAAAGTTCTTGTCTCAATTGATCCAGAAACTCGAGAACTGTTCCTGTAATTCTTTTCAATTCCATAAATCTCTTTACAGTTTGTCTTCCATTTACTTCTGTTGTTTTTGTTCCTAATTGCCACCGTTTCCATGTAATTTGTGAAGCCGAGAACGTATTCCTCATTTCTGACACAGCTTCATCAAATTTACCAACTCCACACAGGTTACAATTTCTGTCTATACAATCCTTCTTGTAGTAGTTGTTTTCTTTTGGGCAAAGGGTAAGTCTAGATAGTGCATATCTATCATCAGCAATTTTTTCTTGTTCATTCATAGAACAGAAAAGTCTTAGACTCTGAAGCTTGAAATCAATGTTAATGCAGTATTCACAGAGGCACTGTAGATACTTTGTTTTTGACATAGTGAGCACATTTTTAGGTCTAAGTTCCACAAACTTGCTGTACGATACTTTCACTTCTGGATTTTCTGCACAATAAGTATCATAAGTATGCTTCAAACTTCCTTCTAATGCCATCTTTACTGTTAGGTCTTTCTTCACTGAACTGACGTTTGGGATTTCTCTTGAAATATAGGAGTTTTGATAAAATCCTTGAATGTTGGTGTGGACTCGTTCAGGTAAAGCATCTTTCCTCTTTTTTCTTTCTATATCAGTAATGTTTTCACCCCCTTTTAATTTTTTTCCCAAGGTCTGACTGAGTCCAAAATAATTTCTAAGGGCTTTATTGGCTCCAAATTTATTTTTTGCTAGAATAGCCTCGTGCAGAGGTCGGCGCGAAGCGTTGTCTTTTTTGCTCCTTTTCTGTTTCAGGTTTTTCAATGTTTGGCTAAAATTTTTACACGTCTCTTCCAAGTCAAAAAGTTTTTTTTTTGAAGCTGGGGACATTATAACTCTTTTTCTCAATGCTGCTTTTTTCCGAGGAGTACTTCTATGAATAATGTTAGAGACAACCTCTGCAAATTTTTCTGGATTTTTTGGAAGAACTTTGATTGACCTCGACACAGCTTTTCTTTTGGCACCATTTGTATTATATGTATCAGCTCTTGTGTTTTCTGTTTGTACTGTGGATGAAATTGAGGTACTAGATGACTTCCCTTTTCTTAATGCGTAAAGTTGTCGTCTTCTTTCATTTATTCTTCTTTTCTTTTGTGATGTCAAATTGAGTCTTTGTAATGCTTTTTGTTTTCTCCATACTTCTCTCTGCTGCTCAGTAGCTTTTCTTGTTCTTTGAACTTTTCTTCTGATGTCTTCTTTTGCTCCCTGTATTTTCTCATTCTTATTTTTGATTTTTCATTGTATCTTTCTCTTTGTTCTGGTGTTAAACTAGTTCTAAGTACTTTCACACGTAGTGTTTCATATGCTCGGTGTCGCTTATAAGCTTCTTCATCTTCTTTTAGTCTCTTCCGCCAGGCACTTTGAGCTAGCCTATTTTTTGTTTTTGGTGATAGTTTCAGTACTTCTGTGGATGTTTGTTGTTTTTCCTGTACAAATAAAAGTTAAATCTTTATTCACAAAGTCCATCCAAAGAAAAAAAAATCATGTGTTGTTTACTATAAATAAATTTTATATATGCAAAGCTAATCCTTAGTGTCCATGTTATGAACATAGTCTGACATCACATTTTAAAAGAGAAATTAAAGCATTAAAACATCTTTTTCTTACTTGTACATACACTCATTTACTACTCTTTAGATATTCAGTTATTCAAATAACTGAATTAATTTTCTGTCAGATTAAACAGTGAACCTAATATGTTATGTTCAAACAATGGAAACTAAAATTATTGTGTCTTGTTTGAACATCATGTTTCCATTAAAACATCAATGAATATGAAAATTACTTCAAGATCAGATGATTTAAAGTAAACAGGTAATAAATTTTAAACTATGGGTTAATACAAATGGAGAGCACGATACTTTTCAAATAAAATTTACGTTCAAAACAATGGACTCCACATATTCGTGTCTAATTACGAACATAAACAAGAGCAGAATATTTAAAAATATGAAGGAAAATTTATCATCTGATAAAGCAATAATCATTGTTAAATTAATCTATGATATTTTGTTCAATTACATTTCATAAATCGCAAGAATATTGTCAAAAGACAGTTGTTCGTAACAAGAGACGCGAATTGAAGGTCAAATGCCAAACAGAAAATTCTCGACGCCGACAGATCAATGCATTGTATGTGGTCATTGTGGACATGTTCAAGCTCCTGATAAGACATGCAATGCATGAAAACAAACTAACAATAATTATCATGTCAAATTTGTACTTAAAAGAACAAAAAATCTAAATACTTACAGATTCTTTATGTTCGCAACTCCTTGTCCGACGATCGGACGCGATCGACATCGCCATTTTTATTCAGCCGACTGTTACGCCACCTTTCTACTTTCGGTTTCTAAAAATACGGCCATACAGTGGGAATTTCCTGATAAGGAACGATAACTGCTTGGTTGTTAATTTTGTCATAAATTTGACACATTTAGGTTCGTAACGACCAAGACACCATTTTTTACTGATGAGAGACCATGTACAAAAAATAATAACGGTTGAGTTTCTGTGTATAAAACTTTTTAAAAAAATAAAACATCATTCTCCGTCATTGATTAAATGTGAAATTAAAACCTGATTACTTATTTTACTACCATTACCGAGGCACTTAAATTGTCAACGCCTAAGGACACGACACGTTATGAACGTAAACAGCTTGTTTGTATCAGCGGGGTAAAAAACTTGAAGAGAATAAGTCATGTTAAACCACATGTATATTTTATTTTGTATATAAACTAACAGCAGACGCACCTTTTTAAGGACACAATACACACATTCTTTATATATAGACGTTTTTTAACATGCTTCTGAATTATGTCACAATTCTTGTGTGTAAAAGTTCCTGCATGCTACATAAAAAAGACAATCTTTAATTTATTCCACATCACATATCCATATAATTATTTAATTTATATCTTACAAATAGGTTTGACATAAGTAACATTTATTTATTTATTTTTACACTTTATTTATTGAAAAAATAAGGTAGATAGGGAAAGTAGTGAAAATTGGCCAGTATTGAAGAATGAGTTTTTTATTAATATTATTTAGAAATCAATTCAGTATGAGTATAATAAATCGAATTACATTTTGCGTTTTGGAGCATTTAAAATTTTAAAAACTGACATATGATTGTGAAGTATTTCGAACTACACTGTAAAACAATTGTTAAAAGTCGTAAACACAGCCTTGTGTATATGTCAAGTTTAGCATTTAAGCTGTCTTATCTTATATCTAAAAGGAAAGAAAAATTGTTTTTATAGATAGGAAATGTGTTTAGACTTTATTAAAGAATAGTTTGACTTCTTACGCGTGTTGAAGCTCTTGAGTTTTGTTGATTCAATGAGTTTACATACAGAATTGTAACTAACTATATAAACAATTTTATGGGTAAAAAAAGTAATTCATTTCTTCGTTAGTCTAGTAACAGGGAAGTTAAGAAGTTAAATTTAATGCTTTTCTAACATATATGAAATATTGTTAACTTATCCCGTTACCGTGCAAAAACTATCCCCAACAGGAACGGCTGCATGTATATCATACTTCATACGCAATATAATGCTGCATTCATTGTGAGCCTTCACTCTGAACACCGATCCCGATCAGCTCCTTCCGTTTCTCTACTACTTGGTTTTACGTATTAAAATTATTAATATCTTCCTTGTATTCTGACCAGTATTTATAATTACGAGGGTTGTAAGAAAAGTTTACAGACCTCCTTGTTATGTTTTGATAATACATTAATGTATTGATTGATTGATTATATACTGTTTAATGTCCCTCTCCAGAATATTTCACTGATATGGAGACGTCATCATTGCCGGTGAAGGGTTGCAAATTTATGCCTATGCTCGGCACTTACGGCCTTTGAGCAGGGAGGATCTTTATCGTGCCACACCTGCTGTGACACGGGGCCTCGGTTTATACGGACTCATCCGAAGGACCGCCCCATTAAGTCGCCTTTTACGACAAGCAAGGGGAATGAGGACCTATTCTAACCCGGATCCCCATGGGGCTACATTAATGTAGGATAACAGCCAAATCTTACCCTTTAATTGATGTAAAAATTAGATAACTATTAAAAGTGTAATAAAGTGTAATTTTTGACGTTGCAACCTTAAAGAAAGCAAACGAACATTGCGAGTGGAAGAAATCGACAATTTTTAACCCACATTTGTTGTATTTTTTCGGTAATTTAGCAGGGTTTTAGTTTTTCATTAAAAACAATTAAAACATTTTACATTTTTGTGTTGCTAGATTATTGAAAATACATGTAGTTTCTACTGCTGCGTATTCTACCTCGCAGTGACAAGGTTTCGCATATGTTTTAGAGAATTGAACGTCGTAGATTTTTAATGGTTTTCATTACGGAAATAACAACCGGTTACCATCGTATATGGAATACCTGGGCTGTCTTATCATGGCAAATTTAATCATGACAAAAGCGCATCACATTATTATGAATGTACATTTATAAATTAAATGCTGACATGATAACACAATACTGGCATTCCATAGTTATACATTTGATATAATAACAAATAATAACTATTGCATTACTGTACACATTTTTTGTAAAAAAAAAAAAAAAAAAAAAAAAGGATTTACTTTGTGTTTTTCACTCTGAATTCAGCAAAATGTTTTAAAAGGATACTGTATGCAATGTGTATTTTTTTCTAAATCCCAGTTTTCAAAGTCGTATCTTATTAAAATATCATTATTAATGATTGATTGATCATTGTTTTAAATCCCTTTCATGATTTTTCTTCCCATATATAATGAGATCACTTTATATGAGGGGTGATCAAAAAGTTCGCAAACTATCTCTATATCTACAAAACCGCAATTCAGATTAGAATGAAATTCGGTACACACATAGCCATACACAAGGTCTATAAACAGCATATGCTGAATAAAGTTTTTCTCTTTGTTTGTGACGTCACAATTTGAAAATGACGTCACTATGTAGGTCACTTGTGACGTAAAATGGTTGTGTCAGTCGAACTCGTTCTACAAACGACTGTACAATTTATTGTATATCTTAGATATCCCTCTGCAGTATCATATAATTTTATTGCCCCCTCTGAAATACTTGCAACTTTCAATGTAAAAAAAGTCATCGCTGTCACGTTAAAAAAACATTCAATAAATCGATCAATTGATCATATCTGTTAATGGATTGTTTTGTGTCTGAACCTCAGGAGAATCACACACTTCATATCTTATGATTGAAAAGAATCAATGTTCTCACTTAGGACTAAGGTATCTCTTATAATCTATGTGTGTCCTTAGATGGCCTTGATGGGATGCATCTCAGTGCCTCGGAGAAAAGTACATTCGCTAGCGACATTTAGATCCATCCATCAACACAATTAAAGGGATTTAATTATATTTTATTTTAGAAAATATTTTTTAAAAGATATTTTTAAGATATTTTTTTCAAAGGGGGAGGGGGAAATATTGTAAGCTCAGTTTTCAAAACATTCCTTTAATTTTTTTAATGGAGATTTGGTTAAGGTTGGTAAAGTCCAGTTTATTTAGATCATGACTCATTAAAAATCCAAGTAGATAGCAAGGTGGAATTCATTTTAAAATTTTATTGAAATAAGGGGAATTCAAAACAAGAATTTTAGTATTGGAGGCCAACATCTGTATTGGGTAAGCATTTCCCACAAAATAAAGAAAAAAACCTTTTATTCCTCTTAAGTGTTATAACGTTAATCTGTAAATCTTTGCTGTAGATTGATTTTGAACAAATTTGCGAGTTCATTGCATTCGCAAAAATATTTTTCTTAAAATAAATCACCGATAAGAAAATGTAAACAAAGCAGTGGTCATTCGCAAAATTTTGAAACGTAAGAATTAATCAACAGGATTTTGACCTGAATTCGCAAACTAAAGTCGACGTAAAAATTTCGAGATTTACGGTATGATTCTAATACTTTGTACATATTTGGGTTAAAGAAGTGTTTAATTACCATTTAGATTTTATCCTTGAATATTTGAAATTCTTAATAAGCATTGTACGTTTCCTTAATTCCGATGAATGTGTAAATACAAAAAAGAAACAAATGCTTTTGGGGTACTGTGAAATAACTAATTTTCGTGGGGGTTTAATTTTCGTTGTTTTCGTGGTGTGAAGAGACCCACGAATTCATGT